AAACTATATATTCAAGTTCTTCAGACTTTATAGTATTTTCTTTTTGCTTGCGAATATCACTTAAAATTTGATCCTTATGTTTTTGTTTTTTGCATTCCTTTGCACACAAGCAATCATATCATTAACTTCTAACTATTGACATAAAGTTTCTGACTTCGTAGAAAAAGCTATATCTCAAAATGAAAAAGAGTGAAGCTCTTTGTCTTTTGATAAAGACAGTAAAAGAAGGCAAAAAAATAACTTACTTTGAAAGCGGTGGATTAGCAGACACTAAACAAGAAGGAAAAAAGCCATGAAATGTATTGTAATTTGACAAGATGAACAAAGTTGTGTGTTCTATCTAATTTTGGTGGTGATACTAGGTGGGTGTTTGGATCAGTTGGTGATACAAAAACTGAAAATTTTTGCTATAATATTACGTAAGAAATTTCAAAATATATTACGTAATATTTCGTAATTTTGATATTTCGCAATATTTCGAAATTTCTTACGCAATATTATGGCTATTTTACGTTTCGTAAATTACTACGAAATATTATGGTCTTATAAATTTGCTGATGTACAATCGATCATTAATAAAGACTATAAAGTCTTTATTAATGATCGATAGTATCAATCGGTCATTAGTTCTTCAATATGTAGATAAAAGAGAAGTAATTAATAGTATAGAACATCGTGTATTTGAGGAACAGTATAACTGTAATTGGTGGAGACGAGAAGAATCGGCATTACTTCCCGGATATCGTTTACTATCGATAATACTATATTCAGATGCAACAACCCTTGATCATATGGGTAAATCCTCCGGCCATCCAATATTCTTATCACTTGGTAACATTCCTAACCACCAGAGGAATAAGCCAGAATCTAAAGCATTAATTGGATACCTTCCAATTTTAAAGGCTAAGGATACTAAAACAAAAAATTCTGAAAGTTTCTATAAAGTACAAAGAGAGGTCTTTCAAAAGTGTATGGTGATTCTTCTTAGGCCTATAGTGAATAAGCCAGAGCTTAACTTTGTTGTTCATAATGAAATAGTCACCTTTATTCCTCGAATTTCAACAATTTTGGCTAATTTAGCTAAAGCAGATAAAATAGCTAATGTCTATCAACCATCTACTTCAAAATGGTCTTGCCATTCATGTTTAGTATTAAAGGATGATTTGAATAATATAAATTTAAATAATACCTCATCTAGAACACCTAATAATATGATAAAAGCAATTAATAATGGTAAAGTACAAGATAATTCAATTCATTCTGAAGTAAATGCATTTTGGGAGATAGGGTATGTAATCAATAGTTATTATTGAATTAATATACACAGGTTAAATCAATGAATAACAGGTACATATTGGGAGACAAATCTCCCAATATATACTCTATTTTACCATAGATCTGCCAAATAACTATAGTATATCAGTAATATATTAGTAGCATATAGGTTAGATATCAGGAGGTAGATCAATAATAGTAACATAAAATTAACATACTAGAATATCCTAGTATCTTACCCTTAGCACTATTTGGACTAAGAGTAAGATACTGAGACGTCCCAGTATGTTAATTTTATATTACTATTATCGATTTACCTCCTGATATGCTACCAATATGCTACAGATATGCTACAGTTATTTGGCAAATCTATGGTAGAATAATGGGTACATATTGGGAGATTTGTCTTCTAATATGTACCCATTATTCATTGATTCAACCTGTGATAATATTATTTTTTTATTTTTATTTTTTTGATGATCATGCTACATGCCCTGCTTTTATTAATTATATATAGCAATCCAAAGGATTTTTATATTACATCTTATTACTGAAATATGACTCACTCGGTTATCTATATAAAGTACAAGTACTTATACACCTGTGTGCAACCTGCCAAAGATGATTTTAATCTCCCCGGTTTGGTTCGACATACATCAAGCTGACCCGACCTGGTTTACCGACCTGGTTCACCAGCCCGTCATGATCACCTTCTTTCCCAACCTTCTTCTTCTAGCCTTCTAGATAGAGGAATTCTACTGCAAGAACAACAGGGAATTTAAGAAAATAAAAGGAAATACAAAAAAGAGGAGAAATCTAAACTAAACGAAATAAAAACATACACAAAAGAAAAATAGAGAAAAGGAGAAAAAGGCCACAAAGAAGACAACCATTATGACACTATTTTTGTCTGTGCCAGGCTACAGAAATTATATAATGTTGTATAGAAAAAAAATCTAACCTAACACTATATATATTAAAAGAAGTGGAAAAGAAAAGAAAAAACATCTAACTATAAGAAATTTCTACATGTAATCTCTCTGATCCCCTATACTGTAAACAGTACACTATCATTGTTTATTTGGGAAAGCAGAATCCAAATAAGCTCGTGGAAGGTTCTATTTTAATAGAAGCGTTCTAATTTGGAAGGAGTAAACACTGCCGATCTTTTGGAGGGGGTACACCAGTTTTCCCACTTTTTGGCCGAAATTTCTAAAAAAATTCCAAAGTAGCGAGAATATAGTAGGAGTTTTTCAGTTGTGAGTACTTTCAAAATTTCTAGGAAGTGTGTTGAAATCCAGAACTTTTGTTGTTTCTCCTGTATTCTTCTTTGAAGTAACAGCCTTAGAGCTTCATCGACAAAGTTGGGTTTTCCCACACTTCACCAAGATTTTTTATACAAGGGCACCACCTGCCAGTTATCTTGTATAATAATGCTCTTGGCTTGTATGCCGAACGTCCTTTTAGAGGAGTCCCTCACAAATAGTTGACCTCTAGACAAATCACAACGTAAGGCCACGTCTCTGCAACAAAAGTTGTATTTTTCTGTTAGCTGAAATTTTGGTACAAGTAATCATCGGAAAGAGTTGTTCAGTTTAGTGATAATATTATTAATTAAATATATAATTATAATGTTAATATATAATATAATTACATAATCATAATAAATTAAGATATACCATAATAAATTAATATAAAATTATAATAACTTCAATATATATAAAGCAATCATTCCCGATCGAATGTATACCTTGGATCTTGGCCTCTTCAAGTATATGCTAGACTGTACTAAAGAGCTTTTACTTGAGCAATGTGAGAGTCAAATAATTCAAAATTTTGAGCAACGATTAATATTGATTCCTAGATTCCACAGCCTTAAAATAATGAAGAATATATTTGACATAACACATTTGATAGCTGATGAACTGTGAAATATAATAAAAATAATAATCTTTGCCCTAGATAAGCTATACAATAATTATGAAAGGCCGGGCGTTAGTAATAAGCAGTCAGGACAGGGTC